AAAACCAATGTCATATAGTAAAAAAGACACATGTACAGTAGAATGTATAGTACTTTTCTCAAAGTGTAAGTCGAATTATTATTCCAAATATATCAAGTTGTAGCTGAAGAATTTCTCTACAAAACTGTGTGTTTGTTAAGCTTTTCTGATGTATGTGTCAAAACATATGATCGAGAATCTTATCTGAAATTGAGAATCTTTCGACCAAAAAAACTTCATATCGTTCTAACTCAAGCTAAAAACATTATAATCGTGATCAGCACAGTTTACTACTATTCACGCTGTGTTTCGCTAAAACTCCAAAATGACCATCTAATGTAATATTCACGAAAAGTGAGAGAGCCATCAAAGGTCAATGACCTGTAATAAATGATTCAAGCCAAACAACACAAAAAGAGTAATAAAACTCCAAAATGACACGAAGGGATGTTCCGTCGTTGGCTATCAAAATGAGCGAGAGGATAGTCATTTGTAGTTTCAGGCTATTCATATGTTTAATCGAATTTTCGACATGCTACATGGTGACTTATCACATTTATACAACCTCTCTTACGATTGTTCTAATGCTTCTATCACGCTTTAGCTGATTATTGTTAGTCAAACACTGCATATTTCTTTCAACGGTTAGTGCGGTTATTAAATGCTCACTAAATCTAAGGTAATTTAGCAGAAAGCATGAGTACATAGTTCATAAATGAAATATTTGTCAGTTTGATTAGAACAGCTAGTTATTATGAACAAATCAAATTGTGAAAAACAAACTATGTCCCATTTTCATGAAACTCTTTTGAAAGAATATATTGTACAATGAATTTTAAGTACTTTTTCATGTATTTATCGATAGATTTCAACCTTTCAATCTAAATATTCGGTTGTATGCTATCTCTCTCTCTCTCTCTCGCTCTCTCTCTCTGTCTTGATGTCGTTAACCTCACTCATATCTTGCATTTTGATCGTGTTTAACTCTGTTGTTTTTCTTTAGGCTCTACACTATATTTCTTGTCTATATGTAAATGTGTTGTTTTATATTTGGTATTTTATAAAATAATTTATATCATTTTTCTTTTTTACCTATACTACTACCCTTATTGTTATTAGTTTATATTTGCAAGCAGCATATATTGTGTAAAAATACTTTTCCAAGAAATTTGTTCTTTTCATACGGTTAATAGATATATATATATATATATATTCAAAATTATGTACATGCTATTAGAAAAAGAAAACGTTATTGTTATTCAAAATGTTATCATTCTCATTCATAATACTTCTGATGAACAATTTGAGTATGGCTGAGTTGTGTATTTGTTTTCTTCTCATATGGCTCCACTTAATGATGGTTTATGATGATTAAAAATACTTTTGGCTGTTTTGAAAAAAAATTTCGTCTAGAAAATTATACGTGTATTATATTATTTTTTCTTGTGTTGTACAGGCGAACTACTATACCAAGAAAATGGTTGTTCATAACATACACATACTATTAAAACTACAAATTATATACAAATTGTGTTTTCTTAGTTTTTTTCGTAAGAATTATCTGTCTATGTATTATATCTATCTATATATATATATATAATATTTATGTAAATTCGCTATATATTTTTTATTTTGCTTTTCCACTTGGCGAGATATCTGTCAGATGGAAGAGGTAAGGTTCACACTAACTCGATATATCGGGCTCATAAATTTGGATTTTTCTACAAGATATTAAGAGTAGATGACAGTTTGAAAGTGTTTGCTTCAAAATACGTTATGTATAATAATCAGCTGATATATCTAGTTCTTCACTTATATTGGCTTTATAGGAAGACATTGGTGAGGGTATTCCAAAAATTGCTTTCGTCATATTCAAGTAGGAAAACTATTTTCATGTTCAGCTGCAAAATCATATGACCCCAGTTAGTCGGCCGAGATCAATGTAGTTTTTTTCTTAAATATTTATAGTTTATTTATCTTATTTTAGAACCGTGCATGTATAGCTAGACAAGGTTGTCAACGAAATATTACCGACAGTGTTACGATCATCAGTTATTTCATCTATATCTCTTAAGATGAGTTCACCAATAATGTTTAAACGTGAACGTGATAGTCGTGAACGCCGTTTTACACGCAACAATCGTTCTCGATCTCGTTCACCTATTTCAAGTAGTGTCAACATCAAATCCGCATCCAAATCACCGTCATCTATTCAACAACCGTCATCAACAATAATAAAACGTAAAAGTGAAGATCCAAGTGATCGTGATGAATCAACGCAAGTGACAACAACGCCTCAGAAACATCGACATCGACATCATCATAAATCCAGTAAAAGTGAACAAGCACGTTTAGCAGCAGCTGAACAAGCACGTTTGGCAGCTGCTGCACAAGCAGCCGAATCTGATGATGAAGGTTCAGCTAGTTTGTCTGAATCACACGGTGAAATGTCTGAAAGTGAAATATCAGAACAAGAATTATCATCATCAGAAAATGAATCAAATGATGAAGAAGGAATGATTGAAGGAGGTCATTCGTCATCGAGAAAAAGGCAACGAACATCAAATAATCAGTCGAATAACCAACAGAAACAACAGCAGAATTCTGGACAGCAACAAACGGGAAAAGGTAAGAATATTTGATGTGAAAGTGCGCTATTAGATAACTAGAAAAAAGAATTGTTACCTGTCAAAAAAAAGTATTCCTTTGATCAACCGTTGTTTCGATGATTTGTACTAAATTTAATGCCTTCTGTTTTTAGGCACTCAATTAATTGTCAATTATTTACCATCTTCATTGCGTGAATCTGATTTTTATCAATTATTTGCTCGTATGGGCTCGGTGAAATTGTGTAAACTAGTTACCGATCGATCAACCGGTCACAGTATGGGTTATGGTTTTATTGAATATGTTACACCAGAAGATGCTATTAAAGCCATTGATAAATATAATGGATATCGAATTGAACATAAAACATTAAAAGTCAGTTATGCACAACCAAAAAGCGGTGGGACATCATCTGGTGGCTCTTCTCAAAGTGATGGACCGGTGATTAAAAATGCAAATTTGTATCTTAAAGATTTACCTGATGAATATGATGAACAAACTTTGGAAAGAATGTTTTCAAAATATGGTGATATAGTAAAAACAAAAATATTAAGAGATCCTCGAACAAGAATATCGCGAGGTGTAGGCTTCGTTTTAATGGCTAGTAAACAGTATGCTGAACGAGCCGTAGAAGCTCTTGATGGTTATGTCCCATCAGGTTCTCGAATACCAATTAGTGTCAAATTTGCTGATCCAAAAAAGATGAATGCTGGTCGAACAACATCATTACCCATTCCAAGCTATCCAGGTGGTCTGCCGTCACAATTAGCACCCGCTATGCTTGATCCATATTATCATCGAGCAATGTTATCTCCCTCTCCACCTTATCATCGATCGGCAGCTCCTTATGAAACATCATCAAGATCTCGAGGTGGAACAAGTAGTTTACGTAAGTAATTTTGATTAGTGAACACAATAGAAAAAATATTTATTAATTTTGACTTTGTACTTCATCTTAGGTTTACCGCGATCCTATAGTGCAAGTCGTTATAGTCCGAGTGTATTAGCTGCAGCTGTTTCCGATTTTACTGGTGGTGGACGTAGTGGTGGCGCTTCTAATGGTGCTTTAGCAGCGGCTGCTCAACTAATTGCTAGTGGTTATCAAGAAGCAATTGATCCAAATGGTTTCGTTATTTATGCATTTGGTTTACCTCATGAATGTGATGAAAATGATCTAGAAGACTTGTTTCGATGTAAAAATGATTTTGATGTTTATAGGGTATTTATTGTTCGAAATTATACAACGGGCGAATCGAAAGGATATGCATTTATAACAATGAGAAATTATGATGAAGCATGTTATGCAATTGAAAAACTCGATGGAAGCACCTTTAAAGGACGAACATTACAAGTTAGATTTAAAAGATAAATTTAATTAGAAATATTTGATTTCATTCAATCAACATGTACTATCCCGACAATATTATTTTTATTATATTCATTGTGTAAAAAGCATGAAAATTTAAATGACCTGTTTTCTATAGAATTTTTCCAAAACGAATTAACTTTTAAGATTTAAACTTGCATATTCAATCAAAGAACGGAAAAGATAAGGATTTATTCAAACTGATAAATGTTTTAAATTCTTTTAGAAGAAGGAAAGTTTTTCTACCGTAAACAAATTATTTTATGTTTTGATTGTATGAATTTATTACAAAAAGAGTAGATATCATAGTCTACAAAGTGTTTTTGTTCTTTGTCTTGCCGTTCCTTTTTGTGCTCAATGTGCAATTTAACTTGTTTTTTGTTGTGTAAGAAATTTTTTTGACTATCTATTTACAAAAAGAATGCGTATTTCAAAGTGAAAGACAGAAAGTCATGTTGTTTTGCTTTATTTTTGTTCTGTTTCTGCTTTGTAATTTGAAATGAAACATTGGTTTTTTGTAAATAGTTGATCTCGTTCTCTGCTTCTTATTAGACTATATATATTTGAAACCTATGTTTTGTGTCTACTACAAATGTTACATCTTATCGTTTCATTCTTTATCACTTAACAAAGATCTGAATGTTGTTAAATCTTATATGACTGTAATATCCGCCAATGAACTAGACTATGCTTTAGCTATTTTTATAAAGCCGAAAGAAAAAACGCGTGTGTGTTTGTGTTAGAATGAATTAACGTGTTTTAGCAAGATTTATCAAGAAATCGAAGCGAATAGTTTCGACAATTAATGTAATGTTCAACAGAAGTACATCCCAGTAGAGATTGAACGACTCCTGGACTTCTATGTTATTTCTTGTTAATTAGTATTATTGAGTATTAGGAAATGTTTACACCAATTTTATTACTAAGAGAAGCTTATTACGAATATTCTTAGAGATCTGATAATTTTTTTATCCTAGTGAATTCTAGTGATATATTGCATACACAAAAAAAGTCCTGTGTTATACAAAAATCGGACGTTGGACACAAGCAATTTTAAGAATATTAACACAGAAAGAATGTTAAATTCATCGATTTTTTTTCTCCAGAGTAAATACGAAGGAAGTTACATCTTTAAGTTGACCGAATGAATCTTATTGCTTTTCAATCCGAGTGTTACCTAGCAATATTTTCTTTCTTTCTACATTGTATTTTCTCTTTTGAGTCAGACACTCGTTCTCGCTGATCTCTGATTGTATAGATTTCGAGAAAAGATGATTCGAAAGTAGAGAAGTCGTAGATGACACATCTGAAGTTAGTTTTCGGATATTTACTTTAGTTATCCTAGAAAACTGTGATCGTTTTTCCTATGAGATAATTAATGGTCACGTGATATTCTTCATAGTGAATATATACTGTAGTGTTTGATATGATGGAAGCTACAGCTGTAGATACACATTGATACGAAGGTATTTTTTCGACATATGTCGTAATTATTAAGCAATTATTGTTAAAAGTTGAGCATATTTTCAATGACGTTTAAGATTATTTATACTTATTTTCAATGTATTGAAGGTAAAAAACTTCATATACATTCAGTATAAATAGTGTAGAGTGATTCATTAAGTAGTCATGTGCTATTTATCAGTCTATATTTCTGTATAGTTTGATGCATTTATAGTCTAAAATATTACTACCGATAGAATGTATCAAAATATTTACTAGTAGTCTACTACAGTGTTCTCACGGTATGTAAGGGATTCAAACGGTATCTAGAGTGTTTCTAAAAAAACGTTTCACTCGGTTGGGTTTCCAGTCTGGCCGCAGGATAGTTGGTATCTAGTTTTTTATGTTGCATGACCGTTTGTACAAGATGTCTGTTACACACTAAACTATTTTATATGTGCTGACAATGATTTTTTATGAATGCACACCTGTTTATGTTGAAATATGAATATCAAAAAATAACTTAATTTACTTATAGTTTAAACTGATGGTTTATCTTGTGAAAAGTAGTAGCATCAAAAGAAGTTCTGGGATTTTTGTGGTACTGGAATGAACCAGTATTAAGTAGAGTGAACTCATAACAGTGATACACTCTTGCATTCAGATGTTATTAGCATTTTGTTATTGAGCCGATCATCCTTTATACTTTGATCATGCGTTGTAGTTGTTGTAGCTAGCCAGTATTGCCGATAAGTTGTCCAAGAAATAATTTGAAACGGCTAACTATCGTTAGAACACGTTAAATATGAAACATTTAAAGGGTTAATACACTTCTCTAACGCGTTAAATTTAGAAGTTAAATGAGTGTGAACGCAATTTCCATCGTTTCTTTTTCGAAATATGTTCGACCGCGTTAACTTTAGAAATTTAACCTGTTTAAATGCGTTAAATATGAAATATTTAGGTTGAAATAATAGGTTTATTTGATTATTTTCATATTTAACACATTCTAACGATCGTTAGCCGGTTCAAATTATTTCATGGGTGTTGTATGTAGAATGTTGACGAATAAATTGAAAGTTGTGGCATATTCGAGTATAAAACTATCAAAAAAATCTAGAACATGTGAATTAATGAGAATTCAATGCTTCTGATTACCCTTCACATTTAAATCTTGTTCATTGAGTAACTAAATTTTTAATTTTTTTTTATTTGTTATTCTAGATTGTTGATAATAATTTACAATATCTATTCCTCTCTAGTAGACAATCCGAGATAATGAAGTTCCGAGAGACTCTCCAAAAAATGAGAAATCTCTAAGAATTTCTCATTTTTCAGAAATTAAGCAAGTTTTGCATACTCTTCAGGGAGTCCCTGACACTCTTTTATCTTATGCCAGATAGGAAATACTAACTTTTTAACAAAAAAACTGTTTCTTCTAGTCAATAATGCGTCGGTTTAATTATCGACTTCTAGCTATGACTACCAGGATAATAGTATATAATAAATTTCTTCATTTAAAAACAAATTAAAAAATAGTACGCTTCATAACAGGAATCTTCCAGGAGTTTTTGAAGGGACTTTTTGGAACTTTTCATTTTTCGAGAAAGTCCAGGAAACTTTGTCGATTAATTAATACTTGTTTTGGCTCTTCCGTATTAATGAATTCATCAATTTTTTGTCTGTCCAACAAAAATCTTTTTCCATCTCTTCAGTTAGATGGTAAGTGAAAGTTTATTTCTATTAAAAATTAATCGTGTTCTTCTTAGTATAATTGAAGAGTGAAACCTTTTTTGTTCCTTCTCTGGTTGAATTTTTCCAATCAGTTGTTTATAACCTATTTGTTTTCGCTGTCGTCTTTTGAGAAGGATCGTACATTTACAAAATAGTAAGCTGTTCTCCCAAAGCTTATAATTAATTCAAAATAAACAGCGATTGGTTACACAGGTTTTTATGGTTAGAACCTTGTTAAAGGAGGCAGTTTGGTAGTTCATCGAAAGCCTAAATTTGTTTTATATTACTCTTTTCTTTTATCTATCAAACAGAAAAATGTGTGTTTTCGATGGTGGTATTTCCTCGTTTTTTTCCGTGTGGGTGATCCATTTTATGCAGAACAATAAAAATATGTAGGTAGGAAAGAAAGAGTGATGAATAAAAATACATATTCACACGAACAAAAAGTCGTTTTGTCTTCTTGTTGTTGTACGTAGTAAAAGCGTCTAGCTGTAATAATCCATGAGAAGTATGCAAAGAAAAAAAAAAAAAAAGAAAAAGAAAGAGAAAGAGAGACCGACGTAAAGTGAAAAAATATATTTCTTTTTTTTAGAGCCTGAAAGGAAGTTTTAAATGTGCTTATTTTTCTTTTTTTTTGACAAAGAAAGTTCAAAATGAAAAGTGTATAGGTCTGAAGCTTATAATCGACCACCGTAGCACGAAGATTAATTAATAGATAATCCGACAAATATTTTAAAATATGATAAGAAAGCAAAAGAATAATCAATTCATACTAATTTACTTCTATGTCATCGGTCACCAAATAGTCGAAAAATATTTTACCAAGAGAGGAAAAACTTTGAAATAAGGTTTCGCCTAGGAGTTATTGAAAAGTAATAGCATGTGTCTTTTATCATGTTTTAGAATAGCAATTCTTCAATGCAGTATGTTCCATCTTCTCCAACGGCTAATACTACAGCTGTATCATCAGCAACAACAACAACGGTAACACCATTAGCATTCCAGAACCCTTATGCTCCCATAGGGACAACCGCACCATCAACCGTTCCATCACAATCAACAGCTTCGACAACATCGACAGCTGCCACTGTATCACAAATGTTAAACGGTTTTACCGATGAGTTAGGAACAGAAGATGTACGTACGATGTGATATATTGACGTCATTTTTGAATAATAAACTGAAAATTTTCTTTTTTTGTTTCTCTTTAGGTAACCAGTGTCATGAAAGCAGCATGGGATCCACATCATTGTGCTGATTGGGATCAAGAACAGCCAAATGCAACATGTATTGCAAGAATAAAACGGTATGTTTAATTTCAGATATATAGTAGTGTGACTTCACGAATAAAAAAATTTGTTGAAAAAAATAAAATGGAATGTTGATTAAGAATTTGCATTTATATTTAATTCATTCAATTATTTTTAGAGATATTATGAGTGTTTTTCGTGATCCTCCACCAGGCATGTTCATAGGTTAGTATATCTTTTGTGTGTTTTTTTTCTACTTTGACTTCATTTTTCTTTTTCATTATAGCACCATCTCCAGATAATATAACAAAAGTAAATTCATTCACTGGTACTGTTCAAAATAAACTAGAAAATATTTTTATATTTAGATTCACGCACTTATTGTTGGACCGTTCGACACTCCATATGAAGGTATTTGTTTGTTAGCATATCTTCTTACTTTCAACGATAATGATGATAAATCTACTTTTTATAGGTGGATTTTTTTATTTCCTTATACGTTGTCCACCTGATTAGTAAGTCAGAGAAATATGATAGTTTGAAATTGATTTAACTTGCTTAAAATTTTTTCCTTTAGTCCAATACGTTCACCAAGAGTAAGATTAATGACAACAGGCAATAACACCGTAAGATTTAATCCCAATTTATATCGAAATGGCAAAGTTTGTTTAAGTATACTCGGGTACAGTATTAAAGGTCAAGAAAATTTTCTATATTTAAATCTATTTCCTTTTCTCCTCTAGAACATGGTCTGGACCATCGTGGAGTCCCGCACAATGTATATCCTCATTATTAATATCTATTCAATCATTAATGAGTGAAAAACCGTATCATAATGAACCGGGTTTCGAACATGAACGAACAACGGGTGATAGTAAACTATACAATGAAATAATTCGTCATGAAACATTACGCGTAGCTGTTTGTGAAATGTTAGAAAATGAAAATTCTTGTCCAAAACAATTACGAGAAGTAATGATCAAACAATTTTTTGATTTTTATGACGTATATGTTGAAACATGTACAGAAAATTTGAACAAAGAGGGAACACAAATGGTTGATCCATTTGGCGAACGTCGGGGTGCATTTGAATACGGTGTAATATTGACTCGATTAAAAAAATTAAAAACACGTTTGCAAGCTCAACATAATGAAAAACAAAATAATAATCAAACATCAACAAAATCATCTACGTCAAAATGTCAACAATCTGATTCATTTATTCGACAACTTGAAGCAGAAGATCCAAATCGTCCACCAGATTATGGCGATATGGACGATATATTTGGTATGTATATTATCCTATTTTTTTTAATGAAAAATAATTAAGTTCTCTAAACAATCAGGATTTTCAACCTAATCTTTCTTAAACTAATTCAACCTATGATTGACTGTTTTAGACACACCTTCAGATATGGATGAAGACGATGATGAAGAGCAACAACAAGACGGAATAATAGATAGCACTAATACCATTTCTTCGACAGTATAGACAGACACTTCACTCGCATCAATTATCAAGACGTGATTATTGACTCAATTATTCCATTCTAATTCGAACATTTCATTCTTCTTTCTCATCTTTTTCTCTACTCAATTTAGCAAGCAAACTAGAAGCAATCCTATTGTTCATTTATAAAATTCAAAAACGATTTATAAAAAGAGAAGACATACTATTCTGTTTTAGTTCAAAAAAAGCCTGTAGATCTAAGACTAGTATTGAGAGCATAAACATTTGTGTCTTGGCAATATTTTCTTTGGCTTCTTTTTCAGTATAGACGCTCCTGTTTCTAATCATAGTATGCAACAAAAAGTTGTTTCATGAAAAAAAATATTTATAATCGATATAACATTTTTTCAGCATGACAAAAACTCATGAACAGTTTTCTTTGAAGTTACAACCATATGGAAAAGGTACCTGATAAAGATTTGGAACAACACTGAGGTTGTACAAAATTGACAGAAAACATGTGACAGAGAGAAAAGCTCTGGGATTCTTAACTGTATTGTTTTTAAAAATGTTTTCCCTTCTTCAGTATTTCTAGTGTAAACCTTTTGACAAAAAGGAACAAAGAGAGAGAGAGAGAACTTAGTCGGTTGTTATTCATCTTTTTATTTATTCATTTTGTGATGTTTTTTGTATATTACTCGCGGATCTCGTTCTATTCATACAAAAGCTTGTCTGTTTTTGTTTTTTGTATTTTGACTCTCATTCCTTCTGTACAAAGTTCAAAACTTCGTTTTTTTTCGTTGTGATTTCATGAAGAGAACAAAAAACCATGAGGCACGGGAAAATCATGATCTTTTTTTCTTCATATATTCACTCATCATGCTCATCTTAATTATGATTTGTTCTATCCTTTCTCTTCTGTTTTCGTATTTTTTTTGTAAAATGAGACATGTCTTTCTTTTGTAATTAAACACGAAATATTGATTTATACATCGTATAACGAGCAAAAATTGGACTCTTAAATCCCTTTATATTGGGTTGATGAGTTTATACGACTGTTCTGGGATTGGAACACTGTTCCAGTCTTGTCATATATATAGTAAAAAAAGAGAGTTTCGAATTTCCTTCTTCAACTTCACCATTTCACAAGACTAAAGCTAAAATTGTTTCCGATATTTTCGAAAATTATAAGACTTTTATTCAAAAAAAAACTAAGCGGATTTTTTATATATACGATCAATAGATTATTGTATCCCTTATATATTTTAAAAATCAATCATCTTATAGAACTTTCTAACTCTTACACAAAGGTAAATGTGCAATTTTATCAAAAAGACAAACTCGTTCAGAATGCTGTTTGTTGCAGAGGGCGACAGAAAAGTGTGCTAGTGGTCGCTGTGAACTACTGATAGCAAATATATCACACTTGGAAGTTATTTCTACTGTAGCTCTACTCTGTAATTATTTTAGCAGTATTCTATAATGCACCTTTTGCATTTTTTTAAGTTTTTTGCCGATATGTCTTTTGCAATGTAGCGTACATTGCAGATCAAAATGGTTATATGCTGATTTATGATTGGTTACTCAAAATTATACTGTAAAACAAATAAACACCACAGAAATAAAAAAAATATAACTTTTGATTAAAACACATGTGCATTTTGGTTAAAATGTACAAGGAAATCTACAGGATTTCTGAAAATTCAGGCTTTTAAGCTGTTAGTAGACAGAAATCGGACGTAGAAAAACAGCTTAACGTACTAAATCTTATTGAATAGACACTTGATACGGATCACATTTTGACTGTTAGGTAGAATTTTGGAGAGGTTTTTACTGCTACTGTCTCAATGCACAGATTTTGCTCTTGTAAACAGAGAGCTTAGTGGTAAGTTGAAAGTTTCGATTTAAGTAATCTGAATGTACTAGTGTTTATGTATGTATTTTTCATTTTAGATGGGAGCTTACTTATCGGTAAGATAAACAAGACAATTTTTCTTATCGAAAAAATGATATTGTATCTTTTGTTTTATTACTTAGTCACCCATCTGTGATAAAGAGTCAATTGAAGGCTCAAATAATCGATTGTCATATGGAGCCAGTAGTATGCAAGGATGGCGAATGTCTCAAGAGGTTCGTTTCTATTACTCTTTAATAATTACTATACAAAATTTGTTTCGTTTTAGGATGCTCATAATGCCATATTAGATTTTGATGATCTTACAAAAACGTCATTTTTTGCTGTATATGATGGACATGGAGGCCCAGAAATCGCTTTATATTGTTCGAAACATTTGCCGGATTTTATAAAACAATTAGATTCATATCGTGAAAATCGTTTATCAGATTCTTTAACTGAAGGTTTTTTGAAATTTGATTCTACCTTACTCGACTCACATGTGAAAGAAATTTTACAAGATCTAGCTAATTTGAAAGACGGTGATCAACAACAACCAATCACATTTGAAGAACCAGATCCAGATGAAGACGACGTTGATGAAGATGACGGTAAATTTTGTTTGTTTATTCATTCACTGCAAAATACGTTCATGACAATTCGCTCTTTGTTCAGTTGAGGTTGAAGAAACTAAAATTTTAAAGCGTGAAGCGGGTATACCTATTGAAGAATTATTAAAACGTTATGGTCGTACTCGAGAAGCAACAAAAAATGAACTTTCAAAACATTTTCATTCGCCTAATATTACTTCATCAAAACGAAAAACACGTTCATCACTCCCGGTATCATTGAACAATAATAACGGAGACGATAATAAACTAAAAATATCGACATTGAAAAAATTACATGATTTACGTCAAAATGCATTACATGAGGATGAAAGTGAAGAACGTCAATCAAACAATGAAAATGATGAAAATACCGTTAGTTCAACAACAACAAACGAAAACAAAGATGGGAAAA